ATCGACTGGAAGCACTTTGAAAGCTCTATAACTCATCGTTAACGACAATACTTGGTCGTCATCGACGTCAGTCGTCGTAAAATCAGCAATAATCGTGTTTGGTATCGTTTTCGATCGTTTTAATCACGTTTAATCGCTTGGAACGACTTTAAAATCTCTGTATCTCATTCTTGTTATACCTATACACAGTAGGTACTCGACATTTGAAATACACATTCCAATTTGCGTGAAACACCTGGTACCACTAATTCCAGAACTAGGTACAGACGTAGCTAGTTACAGAACTATGTGTTCTAACGCGACGCCAAAAGAACTGAGCCAGCGGCTGCTATAATTAGTCGCATTCGTATATAGAGCAACCATGTGACAAACGAAAAAAAAAAACGAAAATTTCTCTTTGTATCGCTTTACTTTCGCGGTAGGTGGTCCAGGAACGTTAAGAGAGCATCACGCTTGTTAGCAGCACGAGCTTCCAGCAGCTAATTGGTATTCCACCGTCGAGAAGTGTCATCCTTTGACTGATTCTATTTCGAGCAGGTCTTTTGAAGTGCTGCGTGTTTACATTCTGACCTGGAGAAATTGTCAGCTAGAAAAGTGGCTGACCAACGTTACTGAACAATGACTACTGAAGCCTTGGACCAGTTTTGTCCTAACATTTTTTACGGACGCATAATAGTACGATCAGTCACAGCATCATTTGTGCTGACGCCTTTGTGAAGCTTCCTCGTATTTCTCCTTCTTCGAACTGGTTTGCTTCTTGTATACATAAGAAAACCGTCATAACGGTTGTTACGTTTTTTTTTTCAATGGAAATTGTAACAGTTGCAGAGAAAATATAGCAGTTGTACTTACAGGATTAAGAAAAAATTGTGGCATTTTTAGACGAGGTAGTATTCATGGTGAAATTATAGTATTTATACACAATATAACATTTTTAGAATATTATAGACGTTACTGCAATATTGTAGCATCTAATGCAAAATATTATAATTTTTATGGCCTCAAATTACTAAATTTTCTAATAATCATTGCTTCAAATTTGTAAATATTGCTATTCCCATGGCTTCAAATATCCAAATGTTCTAATACTCATTGCCTCAAATTTCTAAATATTCCAATACTCATGACCTCAAATTTCCAAATGTTCTACTACACGTTGCCTCAAATTTCTAAATATTCTAATTCTTACGGCCTCAAAGTTCTAAGTATTCTAATAATCAAATTTCTAAATTCAAATACTTCAAATTTCTAAATATTGCAATCTAATGGCTTCAAATTTCTAAACATTGCAATCTAATGGCTCCAAGTTTCCAAACATTCTTATAACCATTGGTTCAAATTTCTAAATATTGCAAATCTCATGGCCTCACAGTTCTAAATATTCCAATACTCGTCGCCTCCAATTTCTAAATACTCCAATACTTATGGCCTCAAATTTCCAAATGTTCTAATACACGTTGCCTCAAATTTCTAAATATTCTAGTACTCATTGTTTCAAATTTCTTAATATTGCAATGTAATGTCCTCAAATTTCTAAATATTGCAATCCAATGCCCTCAAATTTCTAAATATTGCAATCTAATGGCTACAAATTTTAAAAAATTCTAATACCCATTGCTTCAAGTTTCTAAATATTGCAAATCTCATGGCCTCAAATTCTTAAATATTTTAATTCTTACGGCCTCAAACGCCTAAATATACCAATTCTTATTGCCTCAAATATCTAAATATTCTATTCTATTCTGATGGCCTCAAGTGTTTAAATGTATCAATTATTTTTGCGTCAAATATCTAAATATTCTGATTCTCATGGCCTCAAATATCTAAGTATTCTAATTTTCATACCCTCAAATATTTAAGTAATGTAATTATCATATCTCCAAATTTTTAAGTTTTCAGATTCCCAAATTGCGAATTTTCAAAATTGCTGAAACTCCAAATAATCCAATTCTCAGAGATATGCATTTGGAGTAATAAATAAATCGAAAGAGTGAATCAAAACTACGAGCCGAAAGAGCTAATAAAGGAAATAAATTGTAGAAAACATATAAAAAAATCAAAGCAAAAGTATAAATCGAAAGAACATATAAAAAAAATACACCGGAAAAGCAAACCAAAAGAATGAATCAGAAGCATGAATCAAACAGATCGAATGAATCACACTACTCAATAAATACATAAAATAATGGCAAGAAACAACGGTGTGTAAATGCTTGTTTTATTCAGTGCACGTTTTAAAAACAGAATGGAATGCGCATAATTTTCGCGTTGTCTGTGAATTATGTAAAATCGGCGATAAAAGTGACGCGGTTATATCAATAATTAATCAGTGCCATAGTGTCAATGCCCCTCCGTTCAAGAATTCAACGAGATATTACAAATACGATGCAACACGCTTGCTTGTTATCGTGCGCGATAAATTGGTATTCAAAGTAGCGTCACACTCGTTAAGAAAGTTAAATGTTTACATACGTAATACATACATATATGGTAATTCGATATTTACTGCGATTTAATCGCCGATAGGAATCGTTGATGTTAGATCCATACCCGGTGAAAATGTAACACATATATATATGTATATAGCGGAAACGTTCAACAGGTTGATGTCGCACAGTAAAAACTTTTAAGCGGTAGATACTTCTTCAAACACGGCTGCGGACATTAGATAAGAACAATACTGTCATTAATTAAAAGAAGAACAGTACTTGAACACTTCATTTAACTGCTGTGACAAAGTTGCTCTAAGAAAAAACATTGTTACTGCTTTTTATAGTTTTAAATATCTGTTTGTTAGTAATGGTGATATTATAATGTTAGTAGTTCTGATATAATGTTGGGAGGAATTTTAATAAATGTTTGTATGGAATTTATTTTTTTTAATGATTTTGTGTTAGGATTGGTGAAATCTTAGATAGAGATGATATTGCTGATTTTCAAGTTTTATATAGGATTATTATTTTTTTGATTTTTGAATTGAAAACGTAACAAGATTCTATTGAATTATGAAATCTGTTAATTTTGGAAGTTTTATATCTATGAATTATTAAATATCTGAGTATCGAAATTTGCAAACCCTTAAATTGACAATTTTGTAAATGTCTAAATTTCTGAATTTTTAGATCTGCAAATTTTCAATTTTCGTGATTTAAAAATTTTTAAAGTTCCAATTTACGAAGTTATCAACTTTGTCAGTTTCTACATGCTGAAATTACTAAATTATCAAATTATCAAGGTATCAAATAATCAAATTATAAAAATATCTAATTATCAAGGTACCAAATTATCAAATTATGAAATTACTAAGTTACCAAGATAGTAAGTTATCAAATTGTTAAACCACCAAAATGTCAAATTACCAAATTAATCAAGTTACCAAATTACTAAGTTATCAAGTTACCAAGCTATGAAGTTACCAAGCTATCAAGTTACTAAGCTATGAAGTTACCAAGCTATCAAGTTATCAAGCTATCAAATTACCGAGCCATCAAGTTACCAGGCTATCAAGTTACCAAGCTATCAGTTACTAAGCTATCAAGTTACCAAGCTCTCAAGTTATCAAATTATCAATTTATCAAGTTATCAAGTTATCAAGTTATCAAGTTATCAAGTTATCAAGTTATCAAATTATCAAATTATCAAATTACCAAATTACCAAATCATCAAGTCATCAAATTACTAAGTTACTAAATTGCTAAATTACCAAATTACTAAATTGCCAAATTACTAAATAAGCAAATTACCAAATTACCAAATTATCAAAGTGCCAAATTACCAAATTACCAAATTACCAAATAATTAAATTAAAAACACAATGTTTGTATAAAAAATAATTAAATGGTGTGACTTCCACATCTGAAATACTGTTATAGGAATTTCAATACAATTAAAAGTATAATAAAATAGTGACATAAAATGTATTACTCTAAAAACTTTGCAACTACTACTTGAAGCTACAAATGTCCTTAAAATTCTTATTGAAAATGACGAAATTACTGCACTTTAAAATTATTTCTAAGTTTCTGCCATTATACATCCCCAAATTTTTCAATTTTCAAACTGATATATCATAAAGTTGCTCCTGACGTCGTTAACGACACAACTCAAGAAATATAAATTTTATAGAGGAGACATACCAAAATTTATATTTTTCACACTAATATGCACTATAATTATTAAGCTACTAGAATCATACCGTTTTATGCAACAAACACGGAAATACAATGTACACTAAATACAAAATTAAATAAAAGTTACATTAAATATTCGTCAATTCATGTCACTATCAATATCTAGCCATAAAATACCAAAATCTTCAAATTTTCCAAATTCGTCAATAACCCCATTAAACGCACCTCAATAAAATAACTAATAAATAATTTCACGAATGACATTAATCACGTTTTAATGAAATAACCAATAAATAATTTCTGCAACCAGACAGAAGCAAAGCAAACACGATTACCCGTCGCGCAACAAAACCATGACTGTTCGCGAAACAAACGCTACCGCCACGTGCGATCCATTTTTTCTAACCCAGTAAATGCGAATTCGTTGAGAAGATATCCGCCGGAGAAGGAATCCTAGCTATCGTCTACGTCACTTTTTAACGATAATTCGATAGTCGTCGGTAGAGCTCGCGAGCGGATGAGGCCATATCAGGCCGCGGATTGAAAGCGTGCAATGGTTATCAACACCGCGAACGGAGAACAACAAATCTGAGATCTAAACGCGTACCACGAGAGACTAGAGATGGGTGAGCTGGCAATAATTTTTTATCCTTCCGTTATTCATGCAAATTTGTCCCGTTAAATATTCACGAGCTCGAGTTCCAAGTGTCAATATAGCGCGACGGTTAACTTTCCCTCGATAACGTTTTAATAGTTCGCAGTTTCCCCGTTGTTCCGCGTGTAATTGCCATTTCGAACGACATAACTTAACCTAACCCCGTCGTAATTGTGTTTCTTCCAGCGGATATCGTGAGGTTCCTGTTCGCCATAATGCTCTGCATCGCGAATATGATCATCTACGGATTGAAAGTCAACATCGCGACCGCCATTGTCGGCATGGTTAAAGCCAAAAAAAATGGCCAAGCGGTTTCAGACGCGTCCCACGAGTGCGATTTTGGCCAAGAAGGTGTTGCGGCGGTTGATATCGATGGACCGTTCGATTGGTCAGCCACGGAGCAAGGTTTAGTCGTCAGTATTTACTTCGCAGGGTACCTTGTGGGCATGGTTCCTGCGGGTTACTTCGCCGATCGGTAAGCGGACGTGATTGATTGATTGATTTTATATGGGGCTCGACTGCTATGATCATTGGATCTGCGGACGTCTAAAATAAAACTTACTATATTGTCATTCATCGAAGTACGAAATCGTTTCGTCACAAAGCGCATTATTTTTATGTATCGTTTGAAGAATGAGGCAATATAACGAGAGCCTACTGTAAGGCTTCTAAATGATACGTCTCGAAGAGATTTGGTGACGGAGTATTTTTTGTTCAATAATGAAACGGGTCTGCATGTTATCAGTGATGTTGACAGAGCGTTATTTAATGAGATAATGAAGGTGGGTAGCAGTAATAATCGTTTATGAGGTGTACTGTCGTGTAAAGTGTGGGTATGTGATAAGTGTTCGTTTGACACGCAACGTTTAGACCCTATGAATATCGCTAGGGAAGGTGTCTTGAATGGATAGAATGTGTTGTTCGACTGGTTGTATTGTGTCGGGTAACGTGAATTTTAGAAGTGTTTAAAGTCTGCTTTTCAGTATGTGACAATTAAAAGTTACTTATAATTAAGAATTATGTAGTTAAATTATTTATCTGGCAATTACTCTTTTGTCAGTTGCGATGCGACAAATTCAAATGAATTAGGGTATCGTGGCTCATTCAGGATTTTGTGGATGCTTAAGTTGTTGCAAATTTGTTATTATATTGAGATTTAAGATGTTGCGCATGAGTAATAGTAATGAAGGATATTTAAGATGTTGAGAATGAGTTAGAACATTGTCAATGAATTATGATACTGGGAATGGACGTACACTGCTCAAAAGAAATATGGCATAGAAAAAATTTAGGCAAAAATTGGACAAATTTGACTGATGATAACTCCGTGAAAAATCATCGCAAAGTTATGCTCTTTTTTTTAAATTAAAGCTTGAGATCTCTACTTTAAGATCCTGTAGTTTGATTTTAGATTTGATGCATCCCTACCACAATAACACCGTAAATGTGAGGTCATGTTTGCAATATTGAAAATTACAAAGTTTGACGAAATGCATGGACTTGCCACATTTTTATATGCCATAAATGCAAGGGTTTCTTTAAAGTTCTGTATCTTTGCAGAAAAAAATGGTAGCGGTTTTTCACATACTGGAAATTAAAGATAAAGGTTTGTACTTTCTGCTGCTGTAAACAGTATCGCCCCAAAAAAATGTGGCAAGTCCATGCATTTCGTCAAACTTTGTAATTTTCAATATTGCAAACATGACCTCACATTTACGGTGTTATTGTGGTAGGGATGCATCAAATCTAAAATCAAACTACAGGGTCTTAAAGTAGAGATCTCAAGCTTTAATTTAAAAAAAAGAGCATAACTTTGCGATGATTTTTCACGGAGTTATCATCAGTCGAATTTGGCCAATTTTTGCCTAAAATTTTTCTATGCCATATTTCTTTTGAGCAGTGTATTAAATCATTTGCAACATTCTAACTCATCCTCCATATCCTAAGTCATCCTCCACAGTTTAACTCATCCTTCACACCCTAAGTGAACTTCAACATTCTAACTCATCCTTCACATCCTAAGTGATCCTCAGTATTATAACTCATCCTTCATATCTTAAGTGAACCTCAACATGCTAACTGATCCTTTACATCCTAAGTGAACCTCCACATTTTAATTCATCCTTCACATCCTAAGTGAACCTCTACATTTTACCTCATCCTTCATATCCTAAGTGAACCTCCACATTTTACCTCATCCTTCATATCCTAAGTGATCCTCAGTATTCTAACTCATCCTTCATATCTTAAGTGGACCTCAACATCCTAACTGATTCTCCACATCCTAAGTGAACCTCAACATTTTAATTTATCCTTCACATCCTAAGTGAACCTCCACATTTTAATTCATCCTTCACATCCTAAGCGAACCTCCACATTTTACCTCATCCTTCATATCCTAAGTGAACCTCAGCATCCTAACTCTTCCTCCATATCCTAAATGATCCTCCACATTTTAACTCATCCTCCATAACCTAAGTGATCTCCGCATGCTATGTCATATGTAATCTCCACATGTCAACACATCCGCATCACCCCGACTCAACCAACACTTCTCCACAGCTTCAACACAAAGGGCGTCCTGCTGATATGCGTCGTCGGAAACGCACTGTTGACCCTTTTGGTGCCAGTAACGGCCCCCATTTTATCCGTCCTGTACTTGGTAAGATTTTTAACGGGTCTTGTGAGTGCTGCCAACCTCCCCGTGGTGAACGTACTAGTCGGAAAATGGGTGGTTTACGAAGAGAAATCAACATGGGTCGCCATCATTTACGCTGGGACATCTTTGGGAACCGTGATATCTATCTTCACTTCCGGTATGATCCTCGATTCCCTTGGATGGCAGGCTGTGTTCTACATACACGGCACTTTACCGTTACTCTGGTGCGTGGTATTCTACTGGTTCTTCGCTGACAATCCGGAAACGCAAAAATACATCTCGGAAAAGGAACGAGAGCTAATCGTGACGTCTTACGGTCACAGAGTGCTCGGCTCTTCGGAAACGAAGGTGCCCTGGAAGAGCATATTCACGTCGGTGCCATTTTGGGCGCTGCTTTATGCGAACACGTTCGGGAACTTTTGTTGGTACTTTCTGCTCACGCAGTTGCCATTGTACATGAACAAGATACTGCGGTTCGATATTAAATCGGTAAGCTCGTTTGATACTGCCGTTGCGGGGCCCTTTTATGAGACCATCATTTGATTGCACAGAACGCTGCCATAAGTTGCAGCCCGTACCTCCTGAACGCTATCGCGAATCCATGCTTGGGCAGACTTTTGGATTGGGGAAGGCGGAAGGGATATTGGTCGCAGACTGTTGGACGAAAATCTGCCGTGTTTATAAGTGAGTTTGATATATTATTCAGAAATTGATGGCTGGATAAGAAACAGATGTAGAGGTCTCATCTATAATTGTGGACAGAAGGGTGCAGTTTAAGGCCTATGACAATTATAGTTCAAAAGTTAAAAAATCTAAACAAGATGTATCTGACATGACATTTGTTGACGTAAATTAGAAACGAAAGTGTATACATATTTGTTAAGAATTCGAATAGCGGTAAACTAAATTAGGTTTTTGTTGGAATTGTTTATGTCAAATTTAATTTTTACGTTAGCATCTTTTGAACAAGGTAGGTAAATAGACTCCTGAGACTTCCAATAGTATCTCGCTCATAAATGCTTTATAAATTCTATAAAAATCGGAAAGATTTGACCCGACAGTTGCGTAATTACTGGTGTTTGTTTTGCAGGTTGCATTCCACCGAGTATCTGCCTCATTATAATCGCATACATTGGTTGTGAGCGCGTTGGATCAACAATACTGTTGATACTGAGCATAGTACTCTGTGGAGCGATCTTCGTCGGGCATCTCTGTAATCACAACGACCTAGCCCCGAATTACGCAGGAATTCTAATGGGAATCACAAACACTCCCGGAACGATCTCAGCATTTATCTTGCCGGCATTGGTGGGCGCCCTCATGGAACATGGGGTGAGTGAAAAAATAACGAATTCTTTTCTCGCTTAAACCCTTTGCTTGCAATGTTCAATCGTGACGCGGTTATGATAAAACCAAGACTGAGTTTTTAATTTAATACCAATTCTAATCTGTGTAATTAGGGATTGTTAAATTTGAAAGATGAGATAGTGATTTTCTACTTTTATCTTAACACTTTGCGCTCGAAAAGTGACTCTCATTAATCATTTTGTTTAATACAATAATTTGATAAAAGCATTTTTTAACTGATTCTGAATATGACACGTGTGATGTATAAACATAGTGAAACAAATAGTGGAAATTATTAGTAGAGAAATAATAACCTCAAAAGAATTCATTTAACTTTTTAACTAGTAAAATTGCTATTTGCAAACAAATTACCTTCGAGTGCAGAGGGTTAATACATCTAGTGATGGGTTAAAGCATCTCGTGAGAAATTTTTAGATTAAGTAAGGCTGTGTTACATTTTACACAATTTTATATAATTGTATAGTTATTTTTGAGTGCTTTAAGTCTTCATTCTTCACGTGAGCGTGATATTATTATACAAGGTGTTTCAATTTGGTGCAAACTTTATTGACATCTATTCGTAAAAAGAAGAATAGAACGTTTTATCAACATAGTTCAAACACTACTAAAAAGTTATAACAGAAATACAAAAGGACACTGGACTGCATTGTTCGATATCATATACAGGGTGTTTCAGTTTTGCTAGCATATTTTGTTTCATATCATATCAGCAACATATCATATAAGTAACTTTACTATCTCAGTTATTAACTTTTAAATAACATTTAGAGCATTCTACTAACCTCTAAAACTGTTCTCAAGCTTCAATTTCTAAAAACCAATATAAACGAAGATTTTCAAAATTCATAAGTACCGACATTTTAATCTTCGCACAACGTTCATTGCAAACATCCTAAACGTTCGCAAACAGAATTTTTATCTGAAATGTTTATCCACGTCGTTAAATATTGTCGGCATTCATGTAATTTTATAAACATTTTTATCTCAGATTCTCCTCAATTCGATTAATCTTTTTAATTTCTTTTTACATACATTTTAAATTAATCACCTTAGCCACTAAAGTCTCGGGAATTACTAAATCAACTCAAAAATTATTTTTAACAGGAAAAATTGTTTTGAAATCAAGGGCTCTAAAAGAGACGAATTTTTATTCTGAATCTAAAATTGAAATGTTCTTAATAAATTTTAATATTTCCCAAATATCAAAATATTAAAACTAGAATATTTGTAAAAATTTACCGCAATTTAGTAAAAAGTTTTAACGTTAATTCGCCCATAAATAAGTTTCAAATGCAACGCTATAAATTCCCCGAGCAAGAAGTCGTAAATTAAACTTCATTTAACCCAAGTCGCAGATAAAACAGTATTTCACCTCCTCACTGTCTCTAATGCGCTCTTAAAGATGCATTCCTCAGAATTTATATTTCCTGTGTTCACCATTTTTACAACCATATAAGACAATTCAGTTTACACGTATTAAATTAGAACGCTAATTAAAGCGAATTTTCTGTTATCAATTAATCTTGTGTCTTTACGATGCAGCACACTATGCAACAATGGAGGTACGTCATGTGGATCGTAATTGTTGCTCAAGTATCTGCATTCGTCGTATTTTGCTTCTTCGGGTCTGCAGAAATTCAAGACTGGAATTATGAGACTGAGGCGGAACGAGAGGCAGCTCAAAGAACTCAAAGGAATAGAACCTAAACGCAACACCAATTATTATTACTGACAATATTTCTTTGTATGTGTATTTATTGATGTTATGTTATTGTTGATGTGTATTGTTAATTTCATTTTATAAAATTTCACACTTTCTGTGTTATGCTTGTTTTGTTACACACTTTTTAAGTATTGAACTTTTAACATTTGATAGGTGGATTAATGTTTTCTTTTGTAGATTCAAGGTTATATTTCAAACTCTGAATTCGGGTTTTCAAAATTTAAAAACGTAAGAGTTTCTAGATTGCAAAGTTCAAAATTTTCAGCGTCTACAGTTTACAAAATTCTGAACTTTCAAACGTTTTTGTCTTTTGGAATTCAAAGCTTGGAAAATTGCAAGCTTTCAAAATTTCAAATTTCCAGAATTTTAGCCTTGTAAAGTTCCAAGCTGTCAAGATTCCAAACTTTCAAGGTTCCGAACTCCCAAAAATTTGATGACCATAATTTCCCACTTCAAAAATTCTCAACTTTCATTGACATACATTTAAAAAATTTCAAACTCTCAACGTCTTCAGCTTTCAAAATTACAAACTCTCGACATTTCCACTTTGGAGAGTTAAAACCTCCAAAAATTGTAAACTTCTAAAATTCCAAATTTCCAAAATTTTAACCTTGCAAAGTTCGAAGCTGCCAAAATTCCAAATTTTCACACTCCCAAAAATTTTATGACCATAATTTCAATATTCCAGATCTCATCTCTTCAAAAATTCCTAAAACCTTAAGTTTCCAACGTATAAAAATGGCAAGCTCTTGAAACCCCACAATCCTACAATAATTTCAAAAGTCCACAAAATCCTAAACTCCTAAAATCCCATACTCCCACAATCCACAATTTCAAGTCTACAAAAACCTAAGGTCCTATAATCCCATACTCCCACAATCCATAATTTCAAAAGTCAAGTTCCAAAAGTCTACAAAAACTTAACCCTGTAAAATCCCATGCTCCCACAATCCACAACTTCAAAACAATTTTCGAACGTCTGAAAATCCCAAGCTCCTAAAATCCCATACGCTCTGAGAATCCCCATAGACCCAAGAAGTTCCAAAGCTTCAATACCTCATAATCTCGTGCAATCAGGATAATTAGAACCGCAAGACCACCCGTAATGATGTTGAACCAATTAAAGGCCACCTGGTACAAAAATCCGTCTTATCCCAATTAAATGACGGCGTTGGACGACCAAGCTGTTCGCGAAAGACCCTCTTAAAAGAAGGAATAAACCTTTGGTTCAAAAGAGCCGACTGGCAACGTTAACCGTGAATATTTATGGCGGCTGAAACGTTACGTTTATAATCTATTTCGGTGCTACGGCGGCCCGTTTCGACGACTGAAAAACGAACGATTACAGCTAAGTCATTTCCTCTCTTGTACATTTCTTACGTTTCCTGTAGATAATATATCAAAGAGCTGACTTGGAAAAAAGTACTTCATACTTTTGGAGAGATTTTGTATCGTTTTTGAATCAAAATTGTAGAAATTTTATTTGTTTTTGTGGTACGTTTGAAAACTTCGTATGTCCAATTTCATATTTGGTAGTATTGTGTGATTGTACAGGAAGTCTGTTATATGGCAATGTAGGAGGTGATTCTATGTAAAAAAATAAGACATAAATGTAGAATAAAGTTTTCTTTTACTTGGCTTTGGTTTGGAGAAAATTGAACTTGAATATTTTATTTTTGTTTCTCTATGTTCGAACAAAATTAAAGATATGAAAATTTGATGAATATTAATTATATTATACAGGAGATGAATATATAAACTAATAATTTTAAAGTTATTTATTATATTGAAAGAAGTTGAGAACTTATTAAAGATTTAACGCGAAGTGCACGTCACATATTTCAAATTGCGCGCGCTAGAGCCTCGCGTAGTAATTAAAGATGGCCGACGCACAAACCTAAACCTTCCTACTCACCCATTTATTTTTATATTCTGAAACACCCATTAACAATTTTGAAGTGAAATAAATTCTCTTTAAAACTTTATAATGTATCACAAAAATTTCTAACAAAAATGTATCCTTAAACTTTATATTACACAAAAGAAAACAATGAAAAGTTTCCTATAAGACGTCAAATATGTTACAATAAAAATATTCTGCTTCTCAAGCACCTTCTCACAAGAATTTAATCAAGTAATAATAAAAAGAGTATTTAACAGTAAATGAAATTTTATTAAAATTCCTTCACAGCTAAAATATAATCAAATTTTATTAAATATTTTGAAAAATTTTCGCACTAAATTTTTTCGAAAAATCAAAAAAATGAAAAAACTGTATTATATATATTTTTCCTGTTCTTTAATCCAAAATTACATAGTACCCGATTATGCCAACAAACAGTTATTGATTTTAATGGGTTTCCTTTTTTGAATTCTTTATTCGCAATAAGACATCCTTTGACAGAACTCGTCAACAGCTTTCAATACTTGAACAATCGTAATCATGATTGAAAAGCATCGAATTTGTTTTTCGCATTTGGAATTACTCCAATAGCCCCGTTTTTCCTTTCGAGGGCTACTTTTTTTTTCTCATTGCCCTGTCATTATCCTGTACGAGTCGAATCGGTGTCAGATCTTCGATCAGTGTCCTCGACTCATCGCTGTCGGGATGAATGACACGTTTCCGGTGATGCTCTTCAATTAAACGTCCTTTAAAATCTCATTTACTACCAGCATCCATCCGAAAGATGTTCTTTAATACCAGGTTGGTAGGTTGAAGCACGGCGGTGACGAGTGACACGATGAAAATAAATGAACCATTATTTTTCGCGAATAAAGATGTACTACTGATAAAAGTAATGGACGAATAAAAACATGGGCTATGTAAATAACGCGGTGAGTTTAAATCATAATTTGACGTGAAATTCGAAGTGCGGGTGCTACAACTTTTTTAAGAAAATATAGATGCTTGCCTGGTGTCAGATTTAGGACGGGAGACATTTTTGGAAGCTTGAAATATGCATATTTGCGAGTTTAGAATTATGGGACGTTTGGAAGTTGGTGGCTTTGAAATTTGGAACGTTTGAGATTCGTTTTTTTTAGAGATTTGAAATATCGGAAATTTGGGAATTTGGGAATTTGGGAATTTGAAGATTTGCGCGTCTGGAGATTTTGGGATTTGGAGATTTGGGGATTTGGGGATTCGGGAGTTTGGAGATATGGAGATTTGGGGATTTGGGGATTCGGGAGTTTGGAGGTATGGAGATTTGGGGATTTGGAAATTTGGAGATTTGGAATTTTCACGTTTAATCTCTCTTTATCAATCATACGCATTTGTTGGGAATATCAATTTATTTACGCGGAGATTATGGATGTAAATGATCAAATGCACTGAACTAACCTTAACTGTATTTATGTGACATATGAGAATATTTACGAATTACGAAGCGGCAGCGTGCAACGAAACGATCTCGATCAAGCATGAATCAACAAGCACGCAAGTGGCACCGGTAGCCACGTAGAAAAAGAGGACGCAGCGATGCTAGAAAAGGCTGTTTCCAACAATTTATTTACGAGATAAGGGTGAAGTCCACGCATGAATTTTTGGGGATTTTTTAGGATTTTTAGGCAAATTGACGAGTCTCGGCGGTCCTTGTTTATCTTATGTTGTTTTGGTGAGGAGAAAGGACAGTAGATGTTCGGTTTCCAAAAATGTGAAGGACACGACTTCGTACTTCTAGGATTTTTAAGCTAAAAGGCAATATTTTGTCGTACTTTTTTTTAAAGATATTTTTTAGACTCTACTTAAGAGTCGTATGCCGCCGGATTTTACAAATTTGGTTCGAATATTATTTTTGGATTCAAGACAAAAACAGATATTTAGCTTCTAAAAATGAAGAAAAATGTGAATTAGTAATTCGAGGATTTTTAAGGCAAAAAATAATATTTCTTCATATTTTTTTTCGAAGATATAATTTGTATAATATTTAAGAATAGTATAGAGCCGGATTCTGCAATTTCGCTTTCAAAATTTCATAATGAACGACAGTATATACAAATATTTTTTTTTTAAGTTTTTAAACGAATTTTTAAAATTGAAAGTTTGTAAACTTGAGAAATTGAAAAATTAGAAAATTGGAAAAATTGGAAATTTAGTAATTTAGAGATTTAGAGATTTAGAGATTTAGAGATTTAGAGATTTGGAAAATTTAGAAAATTTAAAAATTCGGAAGTTTGTTATTCCAAAATTTAAAAAATTCGTGGACTTAGAAAATGTAGGATCTGAATGCACACAAATTCTGTAATTTGCAATTTTAATAATTTCTGAAATTCTACAATATATCCTCCGTAAAATGTGAAAACAAAAATACAGGCTTTTGAAAATTTTTTAAATTTAATCTTTCACTTTGAGAAATTTGTAATTCGAAAACTCGCGAACTTGAAAATCTCAAAACTTACGTATTCGAAAACTAAAAAGTTCGAAGCCTCAAAAATTCAGAAATTCCCAAAATTTGTCAACAAAAAAATGATCCAATTTCCACAAATATCCAAATCTCAAATTCCCAAATAAAAACTTATGCACGTAGAAATATCCACAAACGTTAAAGTCAAAATCTAAATTTCTGCATCAACACACTCCAATCGTTAACCACTATTCGTAAAACAATTCTGTAAAACAGCCCCGAGGAAAAATCCTGTTGGACGTACGTCGAGTTAGCCGACAATCCATCGAAGAAGCTATTAATCAACGGTAATTAAGGCTGGTCTGATCCTCCGTCGAGGGATCGAGACGTTGACTCGTTTGCTCAGCCCAAGCAGAAGTAGACTTGTTCCACGCCATGGTTAATCAATCCTGGTGCTCGTTACAGTCGAGCCTCTCCGCTATGTTTGAAACGACGTCAACGTATCCGAAAATGTCTGGGAATATTGTTAATTCAGCGAAGCTAGCACGTTTCACGGACCGTTTCGCCACGTGTATGCGCGCACAGATGTATGCATGTATTCGTGAGACGCAAAGGTCGGCCATGAATAAACCCCCTTTACT